AACTCCAGAACGGTAAGTTGGACCTCAGGTAAGTTGAAGTAGACGACCTTCTCACCACCATTTCAGTTTTTCGGGATATTCAAGAAACCTGCAATTTCATTATCGGGTTTTTTCCCAATAAGTTCAATGATAATACGGATTATGAAAATGTGCAGATAAAAAGCAACAACACTTCTAAATACAGTAAAATTAAAATGCATTTAACATTTATTAAAGTATATTCCACTGCGAGTCCAATTTGCCCGCCAATAACCACTGTTTTCGTAGGAGAACATGCAGGTGGTAGGGATTAATGAGTGGGGCTACATAAGGTACTGTTGCCGTATCCCCTTCCCATTTAAATGTACTGGCCTAATGAGAATTTGTGAAAATCTTACGTACGATCGCCAGACGCCCTTCTGAATTCTCTGATGAGACATTTTGCAATTTGTAGCATTATTCCAAAGGGTTGCTTATCTTCACATTGCCAAATAATCGGTCGGCTCGAACGAATGAGTAGTTATACACTACAACTCACTCATACCTCTAAGTTTGACTGAGTGCCAAACTGAGAAGCTAGTGAGCTATAAAAGATGTCGCGAGCGCTGGCGACATTATCACATGCGATTGTTGTAATATACCGGATAAGACTTCCTATAATTCCACACCGATAGACTGGTATGTATGTGTGTGTGTGTCGAAGGGGTGGATAGCTAAGAGAATAACATACCACCATAAACGGAGTATGTCAGGCAGACGAGAGTGACTGGCACTTAAATATTGTGCACAATTGATAGTCCGAGAACTGCGTAGCGACCTCTAGTCGCAGCGAACTGCGCGTCAAAGACCGAATAGTGTGAGCGCGCTTCAGGGGTGGCACATAGTGGGTCTCCAGTTCACCTTGGACTATGGCTCTTCTCGCAGGTGCAAAATATGCGTATACTACGGTCACTTTCGAGCACGTATCGAACTCGAAGGTGACCGCTACTTCCAGCTCTAATCGGTGGATTAGTCAACCATGGTACGCTTATTATGTGTGAAGTGCAAGAGACCAAGGTCAGTACAGTGTAGCCTCGGTTGAAAAGCAGCTCCACCTACGAACATTTCCGGTAATGAGCGAGCCACTCGCAGACTACTTATTTTGGTTGACGAGCTTCCGCTCAGTTAAGGAGTTGGCACTGCGTGTAGGTGCCTGTGTCCGCCGTTGAGTCTTGCTCCTCCGGGGCGTGGTGGGTCCTCGTTCGCTTGCAGCCAATAAGTGAAGTGATTCAGTTTGATTGGTTGCGTTTCGCAAGACCAGGTTTCATATGACGAGCTCGGTGCTGGAATGGATTAAATTCGTTAGTCGCATATTCATTTCACTCGCAGTAATAGACCTGCGACGTGAACTTCATTGCTATTAGGGATGGCGCAGTCCATACAGCTTCCAAATGCGAAATGGAGGTCGTTGCTAGTCCGTAACTCCCTACTGCGCTTGGACGCTCCTCCAGAGCTAACGTACCATTAAGGCAGCCTCAAGCTTTTTGGGCAAAAATTTTCTTGCTATACTGGTAGTATTTCTAGGTATTTTGGTGGATTGGCATAAGTCGTTCGACCCAGTCGGGAAAACTACTCTGCCTTCGGCGGGATTAAAACCCACGACATTTAGTGCAAATCTTATTTATAGCCGAGGCTATAACCACCTGACTTATGACAGCGGGACCGAGAGCCGTGAACTTAAGCACACTAAGATCAAGTTACCTGCCGCAACGTATGGAGGTCACCAATTCTGATGCAGTCAGTTGATTGCCCAAGTCGAATTTCTTATGCATTCAATAGAGCATTCCTCAGACAATTACCAGACTAAGTTATTTTATAGGTTTTTTGTCACATTCACTTGAATAATTGTGCGCACAATCGGTGGGAGTCGAACGTGATCCAAATGGAATTCAACTGACACCTCCGCCTCGGAGGTTGTTAGGTCCTTGACTACGTGCAAGACTTGCACTTATTACCCTGGGTTCGAACCCCATTGGGGCCCGTGAAATTTCCACAACGGAGCC